AGGTAGGTGGGGTGGGGGAGGCACCCAGCACCCACCCCCCTCCATGGAGGGGTGGGGGTCCCCATCTCTCCGGTTCTGGGTCACTCCTCACCTCTTCTGTTGGGGGTTCTCCTCTCCAGGCTAAGGTGGTCCCCAACAATGACAAGAAGAGGACGTACAGCGTCACCTACGTGCCCAAGGTTGGGGGGTTGCACAAGGTGAGCACCTGCAGCGCCCCCCAACCCGGGATGTGGGGTGGAAAGGGGGGGTGGTGGGGTGGTGGGCTCGGCACAGGGAAGGTCCCCAGGGTGTCCCTCTTAGTGTCCCTTGTGGTGGACCACCCCCTAGTGGTGTGGCCGTGGCGTGGCCTGGTGGCACTGGGGTCATGTCCTTGCCATGATGTGGCCAAGGGATGTTGAGGTGTTGGCATGACTATGGCATGACCTCATGGTTCTGGGGCCTCATCCTCGTGGTGGCACGGGCTGGTGGCACTGGGGTCATGTCCTTGCCATGATGTGGCCAGGGGACGTTGAGGTGTTGGCATGACCATGGCATGACCTCATGGTTCTGGGGCCACATCCTCATGGTGGCATGGGCTGGTGGCACTGGGGTCATGTCCTTGCCATGATGTGGCCAGGGGACGTTGAGGTGTTGGCATGACCATGGCATGACCTCATGGTTCTGGGGCCACATCCTCATGGTGGCATGGGCTGGTGGCACTGGGGTCATGTCCTTGCCATGATGTGGCCAGGGGACGTTGAGGTGTTGGCATGACCATGGCATGGGCCGGTGGCTGTGGTGCTATGTCCTCATGGTGGCATGGCCACAGCATGACCTCGTGGTTCTGGGGCCACATCCTCCTGGTGGCATGGCCATGGCATGGCCTGGTGACACTAGGGTGGCATGGGCTGGTGGCACTGGGGTCATGTCCTTGCCGTGATGTGGCCAAGGGATGTTGAGGTGTTGGCATGACTATGGCATGACCTCGTGGTTCTGGGGCCACATCCTCGTGGTGGCACGGGCTGGTGGCTCTGGTGTTATGTCCTTGCCATGATGTGGCCAGGGGACACTGAGGTGTTGGCATGGCCACAGCATGACCTCGTGGTTCTGGGGCCACATCCTCATGGTGGCATGGCCTGGTGACACTGGGGTCATGTCCTTGTCATGATGTGGCCAAGGGATGTTGAGGTGTTGGCATGACCATGGCATGGTCTGGTGGCTCAGATGCTATGTCCTCATGGTGGCATGGCCACGGCATGACCTCGTGGTTCTGGGGCCACATCCTCATGGTGGCATGGGCTGGTGGCACTGGGGTCATGTCCTTGCCATGATGTGGCCAAGGGATGTTGAGGTGTTGGCATGACCATGGCGTGGGCCGGTGGCTCTGGTGCTATGTCCTCATGGTGGCATGGCTGTGGCACGGCCTGGTGGCTCTGGGGCCATGTTCTCATGGTGGCATAGCCGTATCATGACCTGGTGGCTCTGGTGCTATATCTTCATGGTGGCATGGCCACGGTGGCACTTAGGCCATGTCCTCGTAGTGGCATGACCATGGCGTGACCAGGTGGCACTGAACCCGTGTCCTTGCCGTGGCTTGGCTCGGTCACCGAGGTGTTGGGTGGCGCTGGGGGGACATGGCCACCCCTGACTCCTCTGCTGTCCTGCAGGTGACGGTGCTGTTTGCGGGGCAGAACATCGACAAGAGCCCCTTCGGTGTCAACGTGGGTATGGCCTTGGGGGACGCCAGCAAGGTGACGGCGCGTGGCCCCGGCCTGGAGCCCGTCGGCAACGTGGCCAACAAGCCCACCTACTTCGACATCTACACCGCAGGTGGGTTCTGGTGGCCACCACGCATGGGGACGGGTCGCTGCTCCGGGGAGGGGTGGGGACATGGTGTGGCCCAGTGATGCTGAGGTGTGGCATGGTCGTGGTGGTGCCGGGTGGCATTGAGGGCATGTCCTCATGGTGGCATGACCGTGGTAGTGCTGGGTGGCACTGAGGCCACGTCCTCGTGGTGGTATGGCCATGGTGTGGCCAGGTGGTTCTGGGCCTGTGTCCTCATGGGGGCAAGGCCATGACATGGCCTTGTGGCTCTGGGGCCACGTCCTCATGGTGGCATGGCCATGGCGTGGTCTGGTGACACTGAGACTATGTCCTCCTGGTGGCACGGCCATGGGGTGACCCAATGGCTCTGGTGCCATGATCTCAAGGTGGCATGGACACGGCATGGCCTTGTGACTCTGGGGCCACGTCCTCATGGTGGCATGGCCATGTCATGACCTGGTGGCACTGAACCCGTGTCCTTGT